TATTGTCAAAAAATTAAATGAGAAATTCAGTGTGAGACTTGTCTTCTTCCATTATTGTCTAAACCACATCCAGATCCTCTCTTACGCTTAATATGTATATCTTCCACATCGTTGTGGACTATTTTATCCAAATTATCAGTTTGTAGGACTCTTAAAATAGTTGGCAGATATTGTGACCGAAATTTTACCATATCTGACGCAAAAAAAGTTTGCCAACAAATAGTAACAATTTTAAATCCACATTTAGTCAGAAATCCCATTTTTACTTGTAATTATAAACAACATAAAGAACAAATTTCTACAGTTATCATTGAACTACTGATGAAACCAATTTTAAATAACATTTGCTTGCAAAAAACCGATTCTGTGAAAAAACAATCAATTAGCAATAAACCAATGAGTAGAAAGGTTTTAAGCCTATAATAATCAGTTCTCTTTCTTCATATTTGGAGTCCGTTCTTATTTTTGGGTCTATTTTTTTTTCAAATATGTTGACAAAGGTCGTACATAATTTTTCCTAACGGATAGAAGAGTTGAACATCTTTTGAGTTTGCAATTTCATTTATATTTCACACATCACCAAGTAATTTTATTTTTCCACCTTGAATGATCTTCTTTTCTATATGCTTAGTAGCAATGTAAATAGTTAAATAAATGTTTCTTTTTGTACGACCATTGCTTTTTCGATCATTTACCGTACAGGTTTCCATAGCAGTACGTTCAGTTTACGGGTTGCTACGACTAACAACCAAGAGGAGAACGGTAAGCAAATTACTTACTGTTCAGCTGAACGGTAAGTAATCACGCATTCAAGATTTTTTTTATTTTAAATTCCATGCTTGTTCGACTTCGATATTTTCGCTTTCAGAATCACTCATGATTGATATTTTAAGCAAATAAATCACTCACTAATAGTCGCGGAAAGAAAATTAACTCGAAATCAAGCCAGATCAAATCTAAATCGACAGCGGTCAAAATGGAAACTGATTTTTAAAATTGTTGTTTATATTAATCGAAACCATAGTAACAAATTTTAAATTAAAAAAAAAGACCTCGTTGATGTTTGATATAAATTCTTTCAATTTATGAATTTGATAAAAAGACGCAAATCTTTTCATGGTCGTACAAAAAATAGTATAAGCATCACGAACGTTAAGGGGGTTTACTGGTCTCAGAAACTTTTGTCTTCGACCAGTAAACACCCCTTACCGTTCTTAATACTTAATATACTATTTCACTTTTGCATGACTTTATTAGTTTTGTTTGATGGATACTTGAACATGTTTGCGCTTTTTTTGGCACTTTTGAAATACAGCTGTTTGCCTTGTCAATTATAGTAACAAAAGTTTGTATCGCTAGATGGTGTTAGTTAAGCCCCAAATTTTTGAGGTTAGCAGAATCAATTTCAACAATGGAAATGGACAAATTGTGACGGCCGTACGGAGCGCAGCGCAGGCAGATTAAGTTGGCGGTGAACTTTCAAAAGCCGAGTGACCTGGCCTTATGACGCGCCAAGCGTGATGGATTCAGTTGGTCTTGTTATAACTATTGGAGCAGCGCCATTTCTAGGCCAGCAATGCAACGGCTCGGTCGCCTAACCACGGAGTAACTAGGAGATCCTATGTTTATAATGTATATTTAATAATTGTACTGTCGTTCGTTTTTGCGTTTAATTGTATTACTGATTCAGTTGTGTCCTACTACTTCAATATATGAGTGTTCAGATTCCGTTTCTAATTGTGACGCCGAAAGGTTATGGGCCCAGAACGTGAATAGACGGAATCTCGTGTGTGTAATTTATATTGGAGTGTGTGCACGTGCCGTACGAGGAAACGACACCATCATGAACGGGGGAAGTTCTTCACGCATCGAGTTGTTGCAGAAGAACAACTTTGATACATGGAAACTTCAGATGGAAGCGGTACTAACAAAGGATGACCTGTGGGAGTATGTAAATGGCGTCAACGTCAAGCCCGAGGCAACAGCGATGAACGCACCAACTATTGTTGAATGGACCAAGAATGATAGCAAGGCAAGATCCGACATCGTACTATCTATCAGCCCCACAGAACTGAAATAGATAAAAAATTGCGACACCTCCAGGGGCATGTGGCTGCGTTTGGAGGAAATCTATCAGTCGAAGGGGACCAGCGAGAAACGCGACACTTCTGAAGAGCTGTGCAAGATGGACGATGGAGGCGACATGCGCGAGCATCGGCGTAAGTTTTTCTCTGTGGATAATCTAAATGACATGGACGTGGACATCAATCCCGACCGTTTTTTGCTATCCTGCTAATCTATAGCCTACCCGCGCGTTTTGAGGTGTTCCGATGTGCAACAAGTCGCTAAATAATTTCAACCCGTGACAGGAGTCGAAAACTGCATTTCAACTCGAAATTTGAATGTGTTGTGGATTACTGGTGAATTGGTTTCTGAGGTAAACTACAAATAATTCTAACCTCACAAACCTATCACGAACAACATAAACTGCGCGAGTGCGAATGGCGCGAAATTGAGAATGCAAATGTTAGATTAGATATCTTTAGTAATACCAAAGTACTGTCACCTCTCACCACATTCCTCTAAATGCTACCAACTATTGTAAATTTCAGAATGCCAACATGATTGTTAGGTCGCTAAACGTCACACAATTTCGACTTATATTGTATTGAATTGGAATAGACACCATGTACACACGAATGCGAGGGACCTCGTCGATACTGTTACGGGACCGGGTCGTCGCGACCTCGCGGTTCCAGCGGGGAAGCGTCCGGTCTTTAACCCGCGTCGGTACGCCGACTTTGTTCCAGGGTGTCGGAGTGCCCTTGGGTGATGGGGTTCTGAAAAGAACCGGTGTGGGTGCTTTGTTTGCTACGGCAAAAAACTGAGCACGGGGTTTTTCGTGAATAAAAGCCTCGATGAAAAAGAAGGTACGGTTTATTGGGGTTGTCTGGCCGTTTAGCCGCCGGGGCGAGCACTGACGACAACGGACTTCCTTGAAACCCACAACTCAACTGCCTATTGCTCTAATTTTACGTATCTTTATATGCGGCTGCTGTCGCAGCCGCGCTCCGATTAGCGGACCGCAGTGCCGCGGATCTCGGACCGCGGTGCCGCGGATCTCGGACCGCGGTGCCGCGGATCTCGGACATGCTTAAATATTATTTGAATAAGACAACTTATCTAATTCCTTAACCTAATTATCGCACTAATCAGGCCTCCAAATGTTGGCCCGGTAACAATACCATACAACCGCGTGTGCGGGGTACAGCTGAAGGATTACGCAAAGGCAGTTCGGTGCGATATCTGTATCCAGGGGAAGTTGTCTAGGTCTCCCTTCCCAAAGTGCTCCAGCCGGCAAACAGAGAAGATACTGGACCTAGTTCAAATACATGAAATGTCTTTTTTTTTCTACTTTGCGGCCATCACCGAATTATTAAAGAATCCAAACTGAGTGTTTTCAAGATTGGTAGTCATTGCAAATGCCATTGTGAAATCTATATTAATAAAAATGAATCGCCGAAATGTATGTACTCTCATAACTTCAGAACGGCTGCACCGAATTGGACGATTCTTTTTTTTTACGTGTTCCTTATCGTCAGGAGAAGGTTTATATGTAAGAATATTTATAAAAAATAAGACGGCTAAAAGATAAAAAAAAAATTTAAAATTTTGCACGGGAATCGCCACTTCGAATGAATTTGAATAGTTGGCCATTCCTGACGGACCTGTCGCCTGACTGACGTGTCACACAAAACTATTTCTTCCGTGCGATTGTGAAAAGTATTATTGCATTTCAAGTCGTTGTTTGTTTTTTCGTAACAAAAAACGTCGTTTATTTCAAGAAAAGTGTTCGTTAAAGTGAATTCAGTTACGCATTGCGAAAGTTTCTTATTAATTTTGATCTGCCATTCTATTTACCTATGTTCACTTTGTTGGTTTCGACAAAACCTCAAACTTTACCATTATTCGAGGATTTGATTTGAAGTTTTCAGTATTTTAAAATTCTCAAGACAAAATTTACAGATTTGATTGACTGCGAAAATAATTCTGTGTCGTTTTATGAAGTTCATTACAACGCCGAGAAGACGACAAGCTGACATAGGTCCACGAAGTCAATAAAATGTGCGACGAACTACCTCAGGTACAAATCGCAATGATTTATTTCATGGGTAATTTGGATACGGAAGTTGATCAGCGTCGTGCTCATAATCAACATAATAGTCAAACATTGAAGCGTGACATTGGGTGGTATGAATAAAACTGAGTAGATACTCATATTTGAAGTACGAAGTACCTACTTGTAAACACTGTATCTCCCCGGACACAAATTGAACATCTACGCGTTTTGTGAGCATTTAATCTAAAAATGAGCATCGGTGTGGCAAATGACTATTTGTCCTTACCTATATATCTATATCTATCTATCTATCTATCTATCTATCTATCTATATAAATAAAAATGAATCGCCGAAATGTATGTACGCGCAGAGCTTCAGAACGACTGCACCGAATTGGATTATTCTTTTTTTTATGGATTCCTTATTGTCAGGACAAGGTTTGTATATAAGAAAATTTATAAAAAATAAGACTGCTATTTTTTCCACAATTCTAAAGTTTAGAAAATAATAACAGTAATTTTCACACAAAAACACGCATTATAACGTGTCGGTTTGACGTTTCGGCTGACACTGACAAAAATAATACCTATCAGTAGTTGATTGAAGTTAGCAAAAAGGAAGGGGAAAAATGTATGACAGATAGATCGACAAAACAAAACAGTTTTCAAAAAAATGTATGACAGATAGATCGACAAAACAGCACAGTTTTCTTTGCAAATTATAGATTTGATCAGAATTAATTTTTACAATTTAATACAAAAAGTGAAGTATAGTCGTAGCTTAAGTACAGACCGTGCTGAGCCAGACTTTTCGTGTGGTTTCATGAAAGTTTAGAAGTTAATCGTTGTGTTAATTATTGATAACGATTTTGATAAGATAATGCCACCAGTGAGGTGTTCAAATATTGGTCGGCGTAGGCGTAACGCAGATCGTGTTTCTAATGTTAGAGACAGGGAGACTGAAGAAGAGCGCAGGCAGCGTTTGGAGGCAAACAGAATAAGAATTTCTCAAGCGAGATATACCACGACATCGGAAGAACCCATAGCATCGACTTCAAGGGCGAGGCAACAAAACATACGATCAAACGTGACAATTACATATGAACGTTTGGCGTTCCGATATGATGCAACAGTCGATTACGCCGGTGACAAATCTGTCGATTTTGGAACAATAAGCATTATTTGTCAATATTGCAACGCTTTGAGGTTTCAACTCGAACCGCAAGGATTATGTTGTGCAAATGGAAAGGTCAAATTACCACAGCTAACGACGCCACCTGAACCACTGAATTCATTACTTTCAGGACAAGTACCTCTATCAAAGCATTTCTTGCAAAATATTCAAAGTTACAACAGTGTGTTCCAAATGACGTCATTTGGTGCAAATATAATTGAAGAACGTGGTTTCAATCCAACTTTTAAGGTACCTATCTTTTTATTTTGTGACTCACACACTATACACCAGCGTTGGGCAAATTTTAATTGTAAGGACAATTAAATATTGACAATTGATCAATTGTCCAATCTTTAATTGTCCTTATAATTAAAAGTTGCCTAACACTGCTATACACATACAATGCAACATAAACCTACATATATGAAAATTGTTTTATTACAGATTCAAGGACAAATTCACCACCGTGCAGGAGCATTATTGCCTACAGTTGATGGTGAATATAAATTTCTTCAAATTTATTTTCTGGTAAATTCTGAAGATGAAGTAAATCGACGCTGTGCTATCAATCGTTCAGCTAGGAGAGAGATTATCATGGAGCTGCAACAACTCTTACATGAACATAATGAGTTGATCCAATTGTTCAAAACAGTCTTGGAAATGATGCCATCGGACGATCATAAAATAGTGATCAGAGCAGACAAAAGACCTGCCGGAGAACATGAGAGACGTTTCAACGCACCAATGTTAAATGAAGTTGCCATTGTGATTGTTGAGGAGAATATGGAGTCTCGCGACATTGTCATTAAACGACGTGATGGTGGCAATCTGCAGCGTATTAGCGAAACCCATCGGTCCTATGATGCATTACAATACCCTTTAATATTTTGCCGAGGAGAGGATGGGTATCATTTTTTGATCAATATGATTAATCCAATAACTGGTATGTATCAAATGCAACTAATGACAGAAATAATGCTCTACTCTTGTTGTTTATAAACTGTTTTTCATTTTTTATATCAAAATAAAGTAAATAATTCTTTTACAGGTCAAGAAACAAACAAAAAGATGAGCTCGATGAATTTTTATGCATATCGTTTCATGGTTCGTCTAAACGAGGATAACCACATTTTAAAATGCCGCAGATTGTTTCATCAGTTTGCCGTTGATATGTATGTCAAAATTGAAACAAAACGTCTGACATATATTAGATTAAACCAGAATAAATTATGTTCAGAAGAATATATTCATTTGTGTGCTGCCCTGAATACAGATGGAAATGGAAATAATGTCGGCCGACTTACTATTTTACCTGCAACTTATATAGGAAGCCCGAGACATATGCATGAATACGCGCAAGATGCTATGACCTACGTGCGTCAATACGGTCGACCAGATTTATTTATTACTTTCACTTGCAACCCAAAATGGGTCGAAATTACTAATTTGTTATTAGCTGGTCAATCATCCAACGATCGCCATGACATAACAGCACGTGTGTTCAAGCAGAAACTCAAAGCGCTCATGAACTTTGTTGTAAAATATAATGTTTTCGGAGAGGTACGATGTTGGGTGTACTCTGTAGAGTGGCAGAAGAGAGGACTACCTCATGCGCATATTCTCCTGTGGATGGTTGAAAAAATAAGACCGTATGAAATTGATTCTATAATTTGCGCAGAAATCCTTGATCCGGAGGCAGATCCAGAACTGTATGAAATAGTAAAGAAGAACATGATTCATGGACCGTGCGGTGAACACAATCGCGAATCACCGTGCATGATCGACAACAAATGCTCGAAGCGTTATCCGCGTGCTTTGTTGGCTGATACAATTACAGGCAATGATGGTTACCCTCTGTATCGTCGTCGCTCTGTAGAAGATAACGGAAGAACAATAGTGTTGGAAGTCAAAAATAAGGATGTCATAGTTAACAACAGCTGGATTGTTCTATACTCGCCGTTACTATCGAAAACATTTAAAGCACATTGTATTGTTGAGTACTGCAATTCGGTGAAGTCGATTAAATATGCTTGCAAGTATGTCACAAAAGGAAACGACATGGCTGTATTTGGTATTGCATCTTCAAATAATAATGATGAAGTTTTAAACTATCAGATGGGAAGATATGTAAGTAGCAATGAGGCAGTTTGGAGAATTTTTTCATTTCCTATACATGAACGTCAACCCACCGTAGTCCATTTAGCTGTTAACCTAGAGAATGGACAACGAGTTTATTTCACGGCAGAAAACGCAATGCAAAGAGCGGAACGGCCACCAGCGACAACGCTGACAAGCTTCTTTGAGACATGTGCAAACGATCCATTTGCAAGAACATTGCTTTACTCGGAAATGCCAAAATATTTTACATGTAATGCATCATCCAAAAAATTTCAACGTCGGAAACAAGGACAGCCTGTACCAGGATACGAGAATGTATATTCAACGGATGCATTGGGACGCATTTACACAGTTCACCCAAGCAATAACGAATGTTTTTACTTGCGTTTGTTATTAGTTATGTTCATGGACCAACTTCATTCGAATTTCTACGAATGATCAATGGTGAAGTGTGCGCAACATATCGACAAGCCTGTCAACGTTTACATTTATTGGAAGATGATGTTCATTGGGATCACACATTCGCTGATGCTGTTATTTCATCTACTTCATATCAAATTCGATCACTTTTTGCAATCCTAATTTCAACATGTTTTCCATCGAATCCACATAATTTGTGGAACAAATACAAAGACAATATGGCTGAGGACATTTTGCATCGAAGACGTTCAACAACGGCTAATCCTGAACTTGAAATTTGTGCAGAGATACATAATGAGGATTGGAGGATTTATGCGTGATGATGGTCGGCAAGATGTTGCACGAATTAGGAATGCCTGCTCCTAATCGTCCCATGCACGATGCATTCAATCGGGAATTAGAACGAGAACGGCAATACGACAGAATTGCTTTGAGTCAATCTGTACAACCTAAAGTGCCACTTTTAAATCAGCAGCAAAAAATAGGTTACGATATAATAATGAAAGCAGTTAATGTCGGCAATGGAGGATTTTATTTCTTTGATGCACCAGGAGGAACTGGTAAAACATTCTTAATTTCATTAATTTTAAATACAATTCGTTCACAAGGTAAAATAGCATTGGCACTAGCATCATCTGGGATCGCTGCTACTTTGTTAGAAGGTGGACGAACTGCTCACTCTGCGCTTAAACTGCCATTAAATTTGCAGACAATAGATGAACCAACATGTAATATAACCAAAACATCAGCAATGACGAAAGTTCTTCAAAACTGCAACTTAATAATTTGGGATGAGTGTACGATGGCACACAAACGAGCATTCGAGGCACTCCATCGAACATTAAGAGATTTGCGTAGCAATCAGAATCTCTTCGGAGGCGCAATGATTCTACTAGCTGGAGATTTTCGCCAAACGCTGCCAGTCATTCCGAGATCAACAGCTGCTGATGAATTAAATGCTTGCTTGAAGGCATCAAATTAATGGAGATACGTGAAAAACCTCAAGTTAACAACGAATATGCGAGTGGCGTTACAAAATGACATATCGGCGGAAGTGTTTTCAAATACATTATTAGACATTGGTAATGGGAAAATTCATGTTGACTCTTCTACTGGCCTCATTTCGTTTCCACCAAATTTTTGTCAATTCACAACGTCAAAGGAAGAATTAATATCGAAAGTTTTCCCAAATATTTCTGTAAATTATATAAACCATGCTTGGTTAAGCCAACGAGCCATTTTAGCAGCGAAAAATAAGGACGTAGATGATTTAAATATAAAAATTCAGAGTCAAATTGATGGACAAATGTATTCATTTAAGTCAATCGATTCAATTATCGATCCAAATGAAGTAGTCAATTATCCAATTGAATTCCTAAATTCATTGGATTTGCCAGGATTACCGCCACACAATTTACAGCTCAAAGTTGGCTCTGTGATAATTATGTTACGCAATCTGAATCAACCAAAATTGTGCAACGGAACAAGACTCGCTGTAAAAAAAATTATGACACACTTGATTGAAGCTACCATAATCATAGGAAGGTTCAAAGGCGAGGACGTGCTTATTCCAAGAATACCATTAATGCCAAATGATTGTCCTTTTGAATTTAAACGTGTCCAGTTTCCAGTACGCCTTGCATTTGCAATGACTATTAATAAATCCCAAGGCCAATCGTTAGAGATGTGTGGAATAAATCTTGAATTGCCATGTTTTTCGCATGGACAGTTGTATGTTGCATGCTCGAGAGTCGGCAAACCATCGGCGTTATTTGTTTTCTCCCCAGAAGGAAAAACGAAAAATATTGTACATTACAAGGCATTACAATAATTATGGTCGAATTATTTAATTGTGTTGGCGTGAAATGCGGCCATTGGCCGGGTCTCGAGGGGAGCCACCGGGCGCAGCCTACGTCATACCGTGGTGCGTTGCTGGACCCGATGGTACCCGAGAAGGGCTGGACAACACCACGCGGCATGATATAATAATTCTCTAGGTATGATACTCGTGCGGCTCAAAATGAAACCAGTTCGCGCAGTGACGTCACTCGGTGAGTAGAACTATTGGGATTTAAACATAAAAGCACGAAGAATCGCTAATATTTTTGATTTTTATTGTTATAATTCATTTTGTATTTAAAAAAATGTGTTGTGCAACCTCTATATTATAATATAATAATTGTAATGCTGCATTAAACAACCTGAAAACTAAATTTACGTGAATTATCTGAATTAAATTGTAAAAACGAATTTAACGGAGTTTGATACGTATTTCTATTGTGTGCATCAAATTAAAATTTCGCGTTTAATATTATTTTTCGTGTACTCAATAGAAAAGTGCGGCTTTAATTTGAAGACAATTATAAAAAAAGTGCTATTTTTCTCGTTAGTTAGTAGCGCACAGGTTATCTGAAAATTCCAAGATCTTCAGAATTATCCATTTTTTGCTTTTTTAGGTTTTTATTTGATTATCATGAACAGACTTGTTGTTATGGTAATTATGCACATTTAACGTGAACATAATTATCTTAAATATAAATCTACTTTAGAAATTCTGTTCTAATCTTTCAAAAACTGAGTACAAGAAAAAGTAACCACTAAAAATAAGTACAATGTACTATTGAACTGTAACCTACATGCAGAGCTGTTCAAAGTACTCAAAAAAAGTACTTGAAGTACCAAGTACAAAGTACTACTTGAAATAGTGTTCAAGTAAAGTACCAAGTACTTACTTTCAGCAAGAGTATTTCAAGTATCAAGTACTTTTCAGATGTACTTGAAGTAAAAGCCAAGTACATTACTTCAAGTACTTACGAGTACTTGAAGTACTGGAGGTATACTTCAAGTACTTACAAATACTTGAAGTACTGAAAATGCTTCAAGTACTTTCTAATTATTTGAAATACTGTAGAATTAGATAACTTTTCCTGTTTTTTTAAAAAAGTTTAATATATTTTAGAACTGAATTTTTTAATACTCAGAATTTAAGTATACAATAATACATATTTCGCCACATAAAAAATTGCATAAGCATCAACTTAAATCCAGAATGGTAGCTCACTTATTAGTAATACTATGTTATTTATAAACAATATTCTTTTGAAATATTTTTACATCTTTCTGTCGACACAATGCCTTCGACAAAATTAACGTATATTTCTAATTTAAAATTTAAAATAAAATACATGACGGCGTTGTCTATGTATGCTTACTATTAATTTATAACAAAAACATCGGCGCTGTATGGTATTTTCTCAGGCTTCTGTTGCCTTTTTTTAATATTTTGAATTTTGGTTCACCACCAAAACGTTCTGATTTTTTAATAAAGTTGTGTTAAAAATATATGAATTTTATGAACCCGTTCCGTGTTTAAGTTTGTGGGTAGTTTACAGCACCCTTAATCATTACCCATTGTGAAAGTGCACAGGGCCGGATTTGTGAAACTGAAATTTTTCAGAAAAAAATTTTAAGAGCAGTGCGATAAATGTTTAAGTCACTATGTTGCATTTTCAAAAAAAACGTATGAATTTTTTAAATAAAAAATAAAATGCCTAAAACGAGAGTCCATTTTCAGCGAAAACTTTAACTCTTGAAAAATATCAAGGTGATCAAAGTAATTAGTCGTTTTTTACTTTTGCGATTACCAAAAATGCTGAGAATTTTCTTGGAATGAATGCCCCATACTCCTGAATATATCTGTCTACCACTTACGTAGTTACTATTCTAAAAATTATTAAATTAACCTAAATACTACATTGACTAAATAGTAAACACTAATCACTACGATGTTTGTCTATCTATAAGTATGTAACTTTACACTGACAAATCACAAATAATAGGTTCGTAATGCTGTTCCGTCCATTTATACAAAATTTTGTTCCTCTAGTGCCACAATACTTTCAGAATTTTCCTTTACATTTTCGATTGGCTTATTTTTTATTTTTACCTGAAAACCCAAAGAAGATGACATTAGTAACTGATAACTACAATGACTTCAGGAAATGCCTAACAACGGGTTTTGCGAAAATTCAGGTAAATATGTACTAAATTTATTATTGTTAAAATATTTCGTAGGGGTGTATTTATCTAGGCAATTATACTAACTAATCGCGAATTTCATTAACTTTGTATTTTTTTATAATGTGAATATGTATTTTGTTCCATTTACGGAAGCGGCCACTAACCCTTTTGGGTATCTTTACCTGATATTGTAAATACAAATGTAAATTCAGTACTTCTGTAACCGTCCTGTATTTAAACATCGAAACCGAACGCTGTCTATTATTTCGGACACAACAAAACAAAGGTCCTTCGAGCAATATTAAAGTACAATTCGGTACTCATCAAAACCATACAATCATGGTCGTATCAACTGGATTACAAAAAACATTAGTACTACGAGCCGAGTTTCACAAAACATATTTCATTTTGAACAATATAGGGTTTTAAGCGATGCAATGTAATACGTAAAGTTGTTGTACGGTAATAAATAAAATCCGCACAGGAAAGATAAATGACACTAATTAGTGTGACTTTTAAAATCATTGTTTTTCTGCATTACGTCTTTTTAAATTGTTGGTGTTCAAATAATTCATACAATTTAACAGATTATTAGAAACTGTAATGTGAGAAAATATAAGTAGTAATAACAAACAAGTTTATATGGCTGAACCATGATAAACAAAAAAAGAAAATTTGGTAAAAAACGAGTGTCTAACATGATAAAGAAAATTAAATAGCAAAATATTTAACATAAAATTGTGTTTAAATTCTACGAGGAAGAGGCGAATATGAAAGTCTGTACCTGCCATCAGCTATTGCTATTATAATAAAAGGGATAATCCCCTGCCGAGTTCTCCGCCCTGACCAGGCTTCTTACTGACAAATACACGGCGGGGTTAATAAACTAATGAAAGAATAAATATCTTTTTGAACGAGTACTGAATCATTTCTCAAATATTTTCAAATCCGACCTTGCACTTTAGCAGGTACGTCAACAAACCCGATTCCCTTTGGGG